GCTGCAGCAAACACCTGACCAGACAAAGGGACTCTACCAGACTCAGCACCTGGAGGAGAAGCAGTGGTCAGTGTGTACAGGCTCGACCCTGGCTGACGTGTAAACGTAGCCAGGTGACGACCCGTGCTAGCCTCTGTGCAGTGCGTCACTCGCTGACGAGCAGGGGTGAACTGGTGGACTCCCGCATCCTGTAGGTCAGCACCACTCACCAAGTTCGTAGAGAACGAGGGGAGGTAGAGACCAGACAGGGTGCCAGAGGGAGCCGCCGGACACGGGAGGACTGTGGAGAAGCGCGACAGGACAGGACCCCCAGAGGGGTCTGCCAGGGAAACCGCAACCGGCCGACTAAGCGGCGTAAGTGTGGTGCGGTCCCGAAAGAAAGAGCGAGACGCTCCAGAGTCAAGAGTGAAGGTGTGGGAGGCCGAAGCCGACGCAGTGCCTGAGAGCGCAGACGCACTAGTACCTGAGAGCAGTCTCACGAGCACCTGAGAGCACAGACGCACTGGCACCTAGAGCAGAAGCCTCACCGGCACCTGGAGCAGCAGTACCAATGCCCGGGTCGGGCGGGAAACACCGGTAACAGTCACCCTCATCACTTATGGTCACAGCATAAATGGCAGCAAGGATAGCATCAAAATCAAGATCAAAGATAGCTACACCAGCTCTAGACAGCTCTCCCCAGCGGGGGATCTCCGCGGCCTCCGGGAACTGCTGACGCCAAGCGTCCGTCAGGCGGCCAAAGCAGCGCTGGGTGGAGTGGGCACCCCCACACTACTCTTCAGTGCGGTCGCCAGTGCGGAGAACGTAGGTGCAGGGACCAAAACCCCCACCGCGCTGACGCTGCGTGTACCACTCACGGGGCTGTTGAGGGGTGGGGACGTCGCGAGAACGCTGCTGCTGCTGCTGCTGCTGCTGGCGCTGACCGCCACCAGTGCCGCTCCGCTGCGAAGCTCCACTCCGACCACCTCCACCTCCGCCACCCCCGCCTCCGCCTCTACCGCCCCCGCCTCCACCTCCAACGCCGCCACCTCCGCCACCTCTGCTACCACCGCCACCGCCGCCGCCACTCCCGCCTCCACTACCGCCACTAGCACCCCCACCCCCGCTACCACCTCCACCGCCACCCCCACTCCCTCCGCCGCCTCCACCTCCACCGCCACCGCCCCCACTTGCCCCACCCGCTCCCTTGCCCCCCTTGCTCTTGCCAGAGCGGCGTCTCCCGCTAGGGGCAGACGCCGCACCGACCGACTGAAGACCAACGAGGTCGGCCGCAGCGGCAGAGGCGACAGAGGGCATGAGAGGGGAAGGAGAACACCCCTCAAAGATGGGGGCGCGGGGGTCACCTCGAGAGGCTCCTACAGCAACTATGCCCTTCTCTGCTGCAAGGAGGGCCTTCTCGAGGCTGTCGACTGTGAGGGTGGTGGGAGAGACCGCGAGGAAGTGGTCCCGGACTACACGAAGGGAGTCAGGGAGGCGAGTGACTAGGAAGTAGAGAGTGATGTACATGGGGGGGGGGGTTCTTGGCGCAGAATTCAGCAGGAAGCGCAGCGCGGTAGCGAGTGTCACTAGTGCGGAGGTGCGTGATGAGATCAGCGACAGTGGGAAAGGCGGCAAGGTCAGGGAAGAGGAAGGGGAGCATGAGGCGGCTCAGCGCAGCAGTGGCAGGGGAGGAGTAGCGCGCAACTACAGCGTCGTACAAGGTCTGAGCACTCTTGTACTGGCTAAAGTGCGCGCGCTCAGCGGTAGGGAGGTGGCGACGCACAGCAAGACGTGCAGCAGCATCGCGCGTGGCCCACTGAGAGCGAACAGTGGCGTCAGCATCAGCAGCAGGGGCAGGGACGGCGCCAGAGGTGAGGTCAAAGAGAGACAGACTGTCGGCCTCGTCGCACTGTAAAAACAGCTGCAGGTCGTCGAGCCAGACCTCAAAGTCAATGGCTCGACCCTCAGCGTCAAAAGCGAGGACACTGGGTGTAGCCATGACGACGACAGTGGCGCAGTGCAAGCAGTAGGGGAAGGGTACGCAGTGACAGCAGTGCAGTGCTCACCGGGCAGGGCAGGTCGGGCGGCTCGGGAGGAAGGTCGCCCGGCGACACGGCCGCTAGGCTGCAGGGCGGCTCGGCTCCCGGACGGCTCGGCTGCTGCTGGGCGGCTCGGGTGCTGCTGGGCGGCTCGGCGGCTCCGGGCGGCTCGGCTGCTGCTGGGCGGCTCGGCGGCTCGGCGGCTCCGGGCGGCTCGGCTGCTGCTGGGCGGCTCGGCTGCTGCTGGACGGCTCGGCGGCTCCTGGGCGGCTCGGCTACTACTGGGTCGCGTAGGTAGGGCGGTCAGGCGGGCCGCAGGTAGGGCGGCGGGTAGGCCGCAAGTAGGGTGGCGGGACGGCCGCAGGTAGGGCGGCGGACGGCCGCAGGTAGGGCGGCGGGTAGGCCGCAGGTAGGGCGGCGGGACGGCCGCAGATAGGGCGGCGAACGGCCGCAGGTAGGGCGGCGGGGAGGCCGCAGGTAGGGCGGCGGGTGGGCCGCGACAGAGTGGCGGGGCCGCTCGAAGGAGTGGCGGGGCCGCGACTGGGTGGCGGGGCCGCGACGGAGTGGCGGGGCCGCTCGAAGGGGCGGCGGGGCCGCGACGAAGGGGCGGGGCCGCTCGAAGGGGTGGCGGGGCCGCTACGGAGTGGCGGGGCCGCGACTGGGTGGCGGGGCCGCGACGGGACGGCAGGGCCGCTAGCAAGGGCGGCGGGTGGGCCGCTAAGGTAGGGCGGCGGCTGGGCCGCGAGTAGGGCGGCGGTCGGGCCGCGAAGTAGGGCGGCGGGGCCGCGAAGGGAAAGGGCGACTCGGAGGGTAGCTTAAAAAAAAGGCGCGCGCCTCGGGCGCGCTTCGGTGGGCCCTAGAGAACAGTCCCTAGGATGGGACCTGCTCTGATTCCATGTGAAAGAAGGAACGTGAATGAAATGACTACGAATGAAGTGAGTACAAATAGGAAACCCTAGTTGGGTTGTACCCCATATGGGATACCCCACTATAGCATACACAAATAAGTAAGCTATAATATTATGACAGTGTACGCGCTGAGCGGGGACGCGAAGTAAGGAAAAGGAATTTTCCTTACAGACACGGCCTCCTGCTAGTTTGGTGGGAAGCTCTTAGAGTGCAATGAAGTCAGCACCACACATGTCAAATATATTCGAGTATATACTCGAAATAACAACAAAGAAAGTACAGCGATATAGGCATTTGATTATATATGTTCATATATATTAACAGCAAGTATTTACAGACATATTTTTATTTACTACATACAAGTAAATATGGGATATGGTATGACAAGCATTATGTGTGGTTGCGCGGTCATACTGGCTGTATCGTCATAGCAACACTACAACTACTCGAGAAGGTGATTTGATTAATAATCCTTGCCGCTCGTTATAGGCAAGTAAAACTGGGCTGCTTGTGGTGTTGAGTGATTGTAGGTCTGCGCCTCGTGCATTTTGGAGCATTTCATGTCGTTGCGATTGGGCCATTCGCTACTGTTGCGTCTATCAAGGGTGATGTCTTCAGATCTCAAGCCTCGACCACTCGTTGATTGGTTGTTCCGCGCTCTGGTGGCCATTGCATTACGCGAATCGGCTCGAGTCGAGAGTCGAGACAGACACGTCATAAACGATGTACTGTATCGGACCGAACAGCTGTCGTCACCCATTTCACATCACGCAGGGCAGGTCATAGAATCACCACCAAGGGTGGCGTTTCGAAGGCTGTGCATCGTTGGCAATTTGGCACACAAGTTTTTTTTTTTCATAGCTGGTATATCTCCTTTCAGTGAAGTATTTCACGTGACCAACTAAGCGTTCCCCCATCAATACGCAAAATTCGCAAATTAATCGCAATCTAGGTTGGTCAGTCACAGTGTGTTCCCTCGCTCACTGACGATTCGTATTCATTCCAAACCCTTTCCGATACATTTTGGTTCTAGCTACATTATTCCAAAAAAACCACTCTGGGATGGGTGTCCCAGACTTTATTATTATTTCAATCCACAATTCCCCCATTCACACTCCCCGATCTCGGAAACCATCCATCCCCTCCCCCTCCCCCGCCCCCTCCCACTTTTCCCTTCCCCCTCAAATCTCCTTCCCCGAAAAAGAAATTGCAGAGAGCCTTCCGCTTCACCAACTCATCCCCCCTCCTACCCTCCCCGCCTGTGCGATTCCACAACACCTGTGCGCTCGACTCTTTCACGCATTGTTCCCCACAGCACGCACGGGCATCTCCCCTCGATTGGAACCTGCGTCGAGTCTCGTCTCGATTAGAGTCGACTCTTCCAAAACAACCGACTCCAACCGAACTTATTTGAGCTTTTTTCCCAGCTGCGCCGAACGGGATGAGCTTCGCGTTGAGGCCAGCGCGACTCGACCAATGTGATGTGGATGTGATGTTTGCCATGCGGAAATGGGGGAAGAGGAGACCCTTCCGCCCGCCCATATTTTCCGCACCCTGCTCGCTCTTCCCCAGGGACTTTCCACCACGACTGAAGGCTGTCGGGCAATTCTCTCGAGAATGCGGGTGTTCGCGGAAGGGTGGAAGGAAGGCGGTTTCCGCCAGAAAAGCATCGGCGGAACATGGCGATGCCTTTTGTTTTTGGGTTGGAGTGATTGGCTCGTCTTTTCCCTCTTGGAATCTCAGAAATAGCTTGCAGAGGTCGGTCTATGAGTGTTGGTCAGTGAGTCTGTTCGGTGGGTGCGATTGAATTCATGCGCTCGAACAATTAGACCAACAAATAGACTGAAGCACCTCCAGTCGTAGCGGGTGCTTTCGGGCAATCGAGTCGAGAAGAGACCCCCGATCTGCCTACTTGATTGACGCGATAGCTACTGTTTTCAGCTAGTGTGATTTATCCAAGTCAAGAGTGCTAGATCATACGCTCAAGTCCAGTAAGGAGTCTCGAGAGTTCGTACCGCCATAACACTAAATCATACTTTACGCTATACGGTAGTTCCTTGGGCGTCGTCGCTAATGGACACGTCAGCTTTGACAGCCTTGTCTACAATCATGGACACGTCGGATCCAGTCGTTTTCGCCAGCGTAGCCACGGCGGCGCTCGTGCTCTTCCTGTTTATATGGCGTATCATTTTCTTCTTTACCGCGGACGGTACGAGCTTCCCATTACCCGTCCCGCTCGTCCTATTCATCCGCTGCGTTTTCGTCTTCCCCACGGCTGACGGCAGGAAGTTCGTACGTGGTTTTATTGGATCGCTCTGTTTGTTCTACTAGTAGTGTCGTGGTATTCTTTACCGCGCGTGGCACGGTATTATTTTCGTCGCTACAAATATTGTTACCTGCCGTATCGTCGTCTTCTTCGCCGCCCGTGGTACAAAGCTCGTTGTGCAGTGTCCCGTGCGCCACGTGAACGACACGTGCACTAAACGTACCGCAAGGGACTCTGCACAAGTTCGTTCTGCAGTTCCCTTGCATCTCTTACCGCATCTCCCCCGCACCCTTACCCCCCCCCCCCCCCCACTCATCCCCCCCGCATCACGTGCCCCTCGCGGTCTCCGCGTTACCGCAGCGGACTTGACGCTGCTCCTCAAGGGCCCGCCGCCGCAAGAGGCATTCGAAGACAAGGTGGTGTGGATCACCGGCGCGAGCCAAGGAATTGGTGAGTGTGATTCAGATTCAGTCCCAGTCAGATAGTGTCTTTGAGTTCCTTTACCCCTCATCCAACTCCCTTCCCTGTACTTACCCACCGCGTTACCCTCGTTACTCTCCTTACCCACACACCCCCACCCCCCGCACCCCCCACCCCCCCCCTCTCCGCGACGCCTGAGTCACTTCCTCCGCGCGACCCCCCTTTCCCACCCTTCCTGCTTTCCCCCCCACCCCCCTCTGCGCCCCTCCCCCCTCTGTGCCCCTCCCCCCTCTGCGCCCCTCCCCCCTCTGCGCCCCTCCCCCCTCTGCGTCCCTCCCCCTACCAGGGCAGGAGCTGGCGCAGCGTTTCGCGGCGATGGGCGCGCGGCTGATCCTCTCCTCGCGCTCCGCGGAGCGCCTGGAGGCAGTGCGCGCCTCGTGCCGGGGGAAGCACGCGCCGGAGGGGATAGTGGTGCTGCCATTCGACCTCAAGAGGGGCGCGGACGTGCTGCGCGGCGCAGTGCGCCAGGCGGAAAGCGCGTTCCGCGGGGAGGGGGAAGGGCCGTGCGGGGTTGACGTGCTGGTTCTGAATGCTGCTCATCCCCGCCCGGTGAGTGGCTTTTGAGTCGAGGGGGGTCGGTGGGTCTGGGGGGACGTGGAGGGGGCGGGGGGGGATGCGGGGGGGAGGGGGGGGACGGGGGGGGAGGGGGGGTTAAGAGGTGTGCGGGGATGACGTGCTGGTTCTGAATGCTGCTCATCCCCGCCCGGTGAGTGGCTTTTGAGTCGACTGAGGCGCCTCAACAGCAGGCGGAGAGCGCTTTCTGAGGGGCGTGTGGGCGGGGAGAAGGGCGGGGTCGCATGCGAGGTGGGGGAAGGGGCGGGGGGGGGGGTGACGTGCTGGTTGTAACTGTTGTGCATCAGCGCTTGATTAGTGGCATAGACTAGGTACACACCCCCCCTCCCCCCTCCCCTCTCCCCTCTCCCCTCTCCCTTTCTGAGAATTTTTTAAGGATATATTATGCTACCTACACCCCCCTCTCTCCCCCCTCCTCCAGTCTCTTCTCTTCATTCTCTCACACACATACCATCACCCATACCATAACCCACACCATCACCCATACCATAACCCACACCATCACCACTGTCACCCTCGTTCACATTCCCCCGCTCACACTGATCCCATAGGCCCTCCCGATCCCGATCGGGATCCCCCACTCACCATGGCCCTCCCGATCCCCCTCGCTCTGCTTTCTTAGCCCATGTTCCCCGCCCCCCACCCTCCCCCCACTCCCTCCTCGTCTCCGTTCGCCCCTGTGCAGAAACTCACGTGTGAGGACACTCCCGAGGACACTCTCCGGGTAAGGCTCTCTACTTTTGAGACGTCTCGAAAGTCAGCCCCCACCCTCCCCCCCTCCCCTCCCTCCTCGTCTCCCTTCGCCCCTGCGCAGAAGCTCACTTGTGAGGACACTCCTGAGGACACTCTCCGGGTAAGGCCATCCTTCTCACCCCGTTATGAGCAGAGTAGGTTCTTGCTCTCACCCCGTTATTAGCAGAGTAGGTTCTTGCTCTCACCCCGTTATTAGCAGAGTAGGTTCTTGCTCTCACCCCGTTATTAGCAGAGTAGGTTCTTGCTCTCACCCCGTTATTAGCAGAGTAGGTTCTTGCTCTCACCCCGTTATTAGCAGAGTAGGTTCTTGCTCTCACCCCGTTATGAGCACAGAATAGCATCCTCCCCCTTTCCCCCTCCCCCTTTCCCCCTCCCCCATTTCCCCTATTTCCCCCTTCCCCCCCACCCCCCCCTCTCCCCCCTCACCCCCTTCCTCTCTCCCCACCTGCCTCTCTCCCCACCTTCCTCTCTTCCCACCTTCCTCTCTCCCCACCTTCCTCTCTCCCCACCTTCCTCTCTCCCCACCTTCCTCTCTCCCCACCTTCCTCTCTCCCCACCTTCCTCTCTCCCCACCTTCCTCTCTCCCTACTTCCTCTCTCCCCACCTTCCTCTCCCCACCTGCCTCTCTCCCCACCTGCCTTCAGACAAAGGAGTTGCCACCATCGGGACCTCCCTTCATCGTCGTTCTTGCACTATTCGCTCCCCATGCAAGAAGGAATTACATGCATTCACATCCTTTCCCATCCATTTTCCCGCATCCCCCATCCACTCTTCGCTCCCCTCTCCTTCCTTCCCCCTCTCCTCGCTCTCTTCACCTCTTGCACTCCCTCTTTGCCTCCCCTTATCCTCACCTCCCCTCTGTCTCCCCCCATCAGGGCATGCTAGAGGTCAACTTCATAGCCACAGAGCTCACGCGCTACCTGCAGTGTCTTTGTCTCCCCTTTTCCTTCCCCTTTTCCTTCCCCTTTACCTCCCCCATCCCATTCCTATTCCGCCTTCCCCGCTTCTCCTCCCCTCTACTCTGTTCAGGGCATGTTAGAGGTCAACGTGGTAGCCACCATAGAGCTAACGCGGTACCTGCTGCCATGCATGATGCAGCGCAACAAGGGGCAGATTCTCGTGGTGAGTGGTCGTGCTGCTGCTGCTGCTGCTGCTGCTGCTGCTGCACGCACGTGGTACGCGAGTGAAGGAATCTGCTGGCTTGTGCTGTCTTGTATTCAGCAGCTCATGCGCTACCTGCTGCCGTACACGATGCAGCACGGGCAGATCCTAGTGTTTTGAGTCGACTCAAAACACGATGCAGCGCGACAAGGGGCAGATCCTAATGGTGAGTACTGATGTGAAATGAAGTTCTAGTTGTGAGTGCTGCTGCTGCTGCTGCTGCTGCACGCACGTGGTACGCGAGTGAAGGAATCTGCTGGCTTGTGCTGTCTTGTATTCAGCAGCTCATGCGCTACCTGCTGCCGTACACGATGCAGCACGGGCAGATCCTAGTGTTTTGAGTCGACTCAAAACACGATGCAGCACGGGCAGATCCTAGTGTTTTGAGTCGACTCAAAACATGATGCAGCACGGGCAGATCCTTGTGTATTGAGTCGACTCAAAACATGATGCAGCGCGACAAGGGGCAGATCCTAATGGTGAGTACTGATGTGATATGAAGTTCTAGTTGTGAGTGCTGCTGCTGCTGCTGCCGCTACTGCCAAAGAGATTGGTTGGATTGGGTAAGTGTGGTGGTGGCTTATGTTTGGGTTGAGCTCGTGCGCTCCCTGCTGCCGTGTATGATGCAGCGAAGCAAGAAGCAGATCCTTTGTTAAACCCCTCCCTTTCCCTTGCCGCTTTGTAAATGCAGGTGAGCAGTGCAGCAGCAGGCAAGCTCCCAGCGCCCACGCAGGGGAGAATACACCGCCACGCCACCATGCCCGCCCCTCTCAGTCTTCCATGATGCTGTAGGGTTTTTTTGAGACTACCTCCAGCGCCCACGCAGGGGAGAATACACCGCCACTCCACCGAGCACGCCACTGAGCACGCCACCGAGCACGCCCCTCTCAGTCTTCCACTTTCCAATCTTCTCCCCAATCCCGTTTCCCCCCCCTCCCCCCCCCCCTGCCATAAAACAGGTGAGCAGTGCAGCAGGCAAGCTCCCAGCGCCCACGCAGGGCGTCTACGCCGCCACCAAGCACGCCCTGCATGGGTACTTCAACACGCTGCGGTACGAAGCGGTGCAGCACGGTGTGGCCGTCACGCTCGTGTGCCCCGGCCCGATCGCCACTGAGGGCTCTGCTGAGGGGGCAATCAAATCCGCATCCAAGCCATCTGCTGATCAGGCACAAGATTCTGCTACTGCTGCTGCTGCTGCTGCTGCTGCTGCTGCTGCTGGGGGGGATGAGAAGGTGAGCTGAGAAACTGAGTGGTAGGGCGGGTGAATGGGTGAGTGGGTGAAGGATCGGCTGAGGGGGCAATCAAATCCGCCTCGAAGCAATCTGCTGATCAAGTACATGTTCCTGCTGCTGCTGCTGGTGGAGATGAGAAAGTGAGTGCGGGACTGTGTGGGGTGGGTAGGAGGGTGTGCTGAGTCTTGAGATGTATGAAAGGACGATTGCCACTGAGGGCTCTGCTGAAAGAGCAATCAAATCCGCCTTGAAGCAATCTGCTGATCAAGTACATGTTCCTGCTGCTGTTGCTGGGGGAGATGAGAAAGTGAGTGCGGGACTGTGTGGTGGGTGAGTGTGGGTGGGTGGGTGGGTGAGTGGGAGAGTGCGTGAGTGGGTGAATTGGGTGGATTTGCTCATGCCTTTCCTTCCTTCCCCCCTTCCATCCAGCCCTCATTCCCCACACCTCACCCCCCCCACATCTCTCTCCCCTTTCCCTTCCATCCTCTCAGGACTCGCAAATGCCAGCATCGCAATGTGCTGAGCTCATTGTGAGCGCTACTGCTTGCTCCTCCCTGTCCCCTTTGAGTCTGCATGCCACCCACTGTTCTGCCTCTTGTCCCCCACATCTCGCTCCCCATTTCCCTTGTCTCTCCACAGGACTCGCGCATGCCAGCATCGCGATGTGCAGAGCTCATAGTGAGCGCTGCTGCTTGGAGGCTAGAAGAAGCATGGATCTCCAGACATGTGAGTAGGGACAAAGTAGGGGCAAAGTAGGGGCAAAGTAGGGGCAAAGTAGGGACAAAGTAGGGGCAAAGTAGGGGCAAAGTAGGGGCAAAGTAGGGACAAAGTAGGGGCAAAGTAGGGGCAAAGTAGGGGCAAAGTAGGGACAAAGTAGGGGCAAAGTAGGGGCAAAGTAGGGACAAAGTAGGGGCAAAGTAGGGGCAAAGTAGGGACAAAGTAGGGGCAAAGTAGGGGCAAAGTAGGGGCAAAGTAGGGGCAAAGTAGGGACAAAGTAGGGGCAAAGTAGGGGCAAAGTAGGGACAAAGTAGGGGCAAAGTAGGGGCAAAGTAGGGACAAAGTAGGGGCAAAGTAGGGGCAAAGTAGGGACAAAGTAGGGGCAAAGTAGGGGCAAAGTAGGGGCAAAGTAGGGACAAAGTAGGGGCAAAGTAGGGGCAAAGTAGGGGCAAAGTAGGGACAAAGTAGGGGCAAAGTAGGGCAGTGCAGTACATATCTGCCTGCCATGTGCTCACACTGCTTTGAATTTCATGAGCCTCTGCTGAAGCTTCTCCCATTTTCCCACTTCATGCACCGCGTGCCCTTCATCTCATACTGCTTCTCGAGCACCCAGTGCAGTGCCTTCCCCCCATCCGCACCCCCCCATTCGTGCCTTGCAACCATCCTCCTCTGTACCCTCCAGCCGGTGCTGCTACGCATGAACCTCGCACAGTACTTCCCTGCCACCTGCTCATACTCCTCTCAACCCCTTCCCCTGCCCCCATCTGTGACTTCCCCCATTCCTCCTGTACCCCCCAGCCGGTGCTGCTACTCATGTACCTCGCGCAATTCTTCCCTCCCACCTGCAGCATACTCCTCTCAACCTCCCCCTTTCCCCCCTCTTTCCTCCCTATCCCCCATCTGCACCCCCGCATGCGTGTCCCCCCATATACCCCACAGCCGGTGCTGCTACTCATGTACCTCGCGCAGTATTTCCCCGCCACCTGCAGCATGCTCTTCAGAAAGGTGAGGGTTGGGCAGTGCTGGCTGGCATTCAGGTGACAGGGTGACTGGTGAGTCGATTCAAAGGTGTGCTGCTACTCATGTACCTCGCACAGTTCTTCCCTGCCACCTGCAGCATGCTCTTGAGAAAGGTGAGGGGATGAGAGTGCTGATATCCTGGTGAAGAGCCATCAGCCCGGGGGGCAGGGTGACTGGCTGGTGAGTTGATTGATTCAACAGTCACCTCCTCATGCACCTCGCGCAATATTTCCCTGCCACCTGCAGCATGCTCTTCAGAAAGGTGAGGGGATGAGAGTGCTGATATCCTGGAAACTGTTTCTGAGGTACCTCGACTGAGGTGCCTCTTCAAGGGCTTCGAAACGGGGAGGATAGAACCAGTCAGAACGCTGCTGACAGGGTGGCTCTCAATTCAAGGGAGTGTAGTTAGCAGCAAGCTCTGTTGCCCGACTAAAAAGTGATCCGAATGGGAAACTCATTATTGATCAAAACAGGGAGGATAGAGCCAGTCAGAAGCCTGCTGACAGGGTGGCTGGGATGTAGTAAATTGCACTAAGCACCTAGTGCCCCCTCTCACCCTTTGAGACAACTCAAGTCACCTCAAGTCAATTGAGTCGACTCAAAAGTCAATTGCACTAAGCACCTAGTGCCCCCTCTCACCCTTCCTTCTCCCTCTCTCTCCCCACCTGCCACAACAGATTGGTCCCAAGAGAGTGCAAGCACTCAAGACCGGCAGCAGCAACATGTACTCTACAAGCCTCCTATTCACCTGCACATCCTCCCCTTCTTCCTCATCCTCTTCCTCCTCACTCACCTCACTCACCTCACTCTCCTCCTCCCCCGTCTCCATCTCCTCTACATCTTCCTCCTCGAGCCGCTCACCCTCTCCCACACACCTACCCCGCGTCATTAAACCCCACAAGTCCCTCTCTTTCTTATCCCTCACTCACACACCCTCTCACACATCCTCGCACAAACCAGTGCAACGATCCACCACCCCCTCACCTCATTCCTCCCCACCTCGCTCCTCCTCCCCTCTTTCCTCCCTCTCCTCTCCGTCTCTCTCCCCCTCGTCCCTCTCACCCGCCCTCTCTCCCCGCCGTTCACCCATCTCGGTCCTCCCCCATCCCTCCTCCTCGCATCAAGCCTTGTCTGCTACCAAGCCTCCCCTTGACTTGGCCAACTGACAGAGTTTTTAGAATTCTCTGAAAAAGCAGCTCCAGTTTTGAGACGTCTCAAAGCCAACTGACAGAGTTCTTAGAATTCTCTGAAGAATCAGGTCCCCAATCCTCTCACCAGCCCTCCCTCTGCACCGGATTGACCATCTGTCCTTCCTTTGTCAACACTACCCCTGCCCCTGCCTCTTACCTCAGCCCCTGCCCCCTGCTGCCCCTGCACCTGCACATTCGTCTGGTTGGCAACTTGCTAACCCAGCGTTTAACTCAATGTCAAACCCTAGCCAATCTTGCCCACCCTTGTGTCATCTAAGACCAACAGTGGCATTGGTATTTTGCACATCACCGTCATCACCACTGTCGCCACCATCGCCGCCACCATCACCACCACCCACTGCCACCCTCCACCACCCTTGACCACCCTCCACCACCTTCGACACAGGGCCTCTGCAGCCCAGGTTTTTCCTCCATTTAGGGTTCTCTGTTTGTAGCATAGTAGAAGCGATGTTCGCGCAATGTGTTGAAAGCAATTTCCTAGTGGCATCGTGGGAGGTTAGAAGCTCAAGTGCTCACTACCGGTATGCTTATCAGTTCTATCCTTGCTGTTCTTACGGTAATGAATCATTTGTTGTACCTGCCCTGCTGATCACGGCCTGCCCTGCCCTGCCCCCTGAAATGTTGTACCTTGATGTAAGCACTTGGAGGGCAATAAGAGGTATTTCTATGCGGATAGTGCTGTGAGGTAGCAACCATACGGTACCTGTTTATGAATGCTCAGAAATTTAGGTGGATCTGCTTGGGTGGCTGTGAAAAATGGGCACAGGGGACGACTGGCTCAGTTGAACAATGCGGAAAGCACTTGTTACGTACGCCAATGTTTTGTTGAAACGAGGGTCCACCTTTGTCCTTCTTGGGTTCAGAAAAATACTGTCATCGCCCGGATATGGTAGTAGACAGTGTTGAATAGCAGACAGGGGTTGTCTATTATCAGGGTGTCTCTTATTATAAACAGGCTAGCCTCATTATAAGGCACCTATTTGTGTGTACGAGTTAAGCTAGTGTAGGGGTTAGGGGCGATTGTATAACGAGGGGGTAGGTATCTTCTAAACGGTTCTTTGTCCATTTATAAGGCTTAAAGACGCTCTAAACCGTCCTAAATACAAGATAACCCAAGCATTTCGAGTAGTGTATGAGATAAGACATATATGTCTACTATCCGGGCGATGACGGTAATATTTTGGACCACGCTTGCCAGTGTGAGTGTTGGTAAGCAGACATTCGAATTTTGTGCCTACAGTTTTCTTCCGCAGTAACATTTGGTCAAGATTAGGGTTTCGGGAGTAAAATGTAGACTCCCGTTTGAAGAAATAGAGCTAGTAGAATGAGGAGTAGAGCTATCACTGCGAAGTAGCAGCCATGCCTTCAGAGAGGGCCAGTAGAATGAGGAGCTGGATCTGCTGCAGTGTGGCTATGGAGGGCGGTACTGGTGTTGCCTGGCACAGGGGCGGCCTGGCTCATAGCTAGGAGGAGGTAACCCTTAGAGCTAGCGTTATGTGGTGGCAGCCATGCCTTTAGAGAGGGCCAGGAGAATGAGGAGCTGGATCTGCTGCAGTGTGGCTATGGAGGGCGGCACTGGTAGGGAATGCACTAGGAAGTGGCATTAACAGGTAGCACTATGCAGTAGCAGCCATGCCTTTGGAAAGTGCCAACAGGATCAGCAGCTGGATCTGCTGCAGGGTGGCTATGGAGGGCGGCACTGGTGTTGCCTGGGCCTCCTGAGGTGGGGGGAAGGAGGGGTAGGCGGGAGGAAGGGAAGAGGAGAGGAGGACATTTCAAAGGCGCTAGAGGAATTCATTCCTGGTAATTTGAAGGCGCTAAGAGAGTAAGAAGCTGGATCTGGTGCAGGGTGAGGTGACTATGGTGGGGGGTGACTATGGTGGGGGGCACTGGTGTTGCCTGGCTCTCTCGAGAGGCAGGGAGGAGAGGTAGGAGGGAGGAGGGGAGTAGGCAAGGTGGGGGATGGATGGGGATGGGAAAAAACCTGGGCAGGTAGCACCTGACCAGATAGCACCTGACGAGATATTACCTGACCAGATAGCACCTGACGAGATAGTACCCGACCAGATAGCACCTGACGAGATAGTACCTGACCAGATAGCACCTGGCCGGATAGTACCTGCTCCATCCGTACGAAGTTGTAGTCCCTGCCTTGGTCAAATGCTGCCTTGACGTTCTGATAGAGGCGAACAGGGGTGAAGAGTGGTGAAGAGGGGTGAAGAGTGGTGAAGAGGGGTGAAGAATGGTGAAGAATGGTGATGGGAGGTGGTGGGAGGTGAGAAAAAGTAGTGGGGTAGTAGGTTAAGTCCAGAGAGGAACACGAGGAGTGGGTTGCTGCACTGCCCTGGGTTGACAGCTTGCTTCTCAACTCAGAAAGAACGGACTGATCCCGGTGCCACACAGTTGCTCCTCAAATTCGTGAAATGTCACTCCTAACCGTCGCAAATGCACAACGAACCCAATTATACCCCTCGCGCCACACCCACCTGCTGCACAAACCCCTTTTGTTGCAGGTGGTTTTTTCTATTTATAGGAAACCCACTTATACCCCTCGCGCCACACCCACCTGCTGCACAAACCCATCGGTAGGGTCAGGCGGCTGAGAACCGTCTGCTGACACAACTCCCTCGTACCCCTCTCCACTCCTTATGTTGTCCACCTGGTGGCATGGTGAGGGGGGAAGGTGGGGTGGGACATGCATATGAGTAAATAGATGGACAGTCAGTGTGCCAGATGGTAATAATAATGATATGAATGCTGATAACAAAGAACAAGAATAATGTATATGTTTGTAAGCATATGGGTGTACCATGTTGAGTGTGGTGTAGACTAGCCGGACCCACAGCGTTCGAACCCGCACCTCCTGTGGAGGACCGGGGGTGAGAGGGGGCGAGAAAGTGAGGAGAGAAGGGGGGAGATTGACAAAGGGTTGAGAACGGGAGGAGAGAGTGAAAGACTGCACTCATACCTTCTGTGGATGACCAGAATGAAGATTGTATGGTTGGAGGGGAAGAAATGAGGAGGGACAAGGAAGCAAGCATAAGCGGGGCTGCGGCCACACTACCAACAGAAGACATAAGCGATAAGCAGGTGAGTGAACACACACAGAGAGCGGTGTGCCCAAGCCAACAAACTTACCTGCCCATCTAACTTACCTGCCCATCTAACTTACCTGCCTCGTGCCTTTCGAGAATTCTCAAAAGTGCACGCACAATCCCTGTGCCCATCCTCCTACCCCATGCCCATCCATCCATCCCATACCCCCATGCCTCCATGCCCCTTTGCTTCATACTTCCATGCCTGCATACCCTCCTAGGTGACCCCACCAACCTCAGCCAGAAAGGGCCCTCGAAGGGCTTTAAGAGCGCTGCTCCTTCTCTCATCGTCACTATCCAAATCCCCCTCCACCCTCTCCTCCTCTCCCACCTCTCTCACCCCCTCCTCATCTCCCTCCTCTCCCCTTCCACCCCCCTTCCCATCTCCACTCCCTGCAGCCCCTCCTTCCACCCCCTCCACTCTTCCTCCTCGTCTCCCCTCCTCCCTCTCCTCCTCACCCTCCACCTCCTTTCCTTCTCGTTTTCTCTCCCCCAATCCCCCCCCGCTCTCCCCCCAACTTCCCCCCTCCGCTTCCCCCTCCTCCCCCTCCTCCCCAGCGCCAGCAGCGCCCATCATCATGGAGAAGGGGGCGGGCAGGGCAGCCTCCGCCAGCAGCAGCTTCAGCTGGAGGTCCTTAAAGCCCAGCGACTGTGCCCGTGCTGCCATGCACGCATCTACAAAGTCCCCCAACGCTTCCTGATCGGGTAGTCATGTGGGGGGGAATCGGGGGAGGCGGGAGGGAGGAGAGTTGGGAGGGAGGAGAGAGGGGAGGGAGGAGAGGGGGAGAACACAATGAAGAGACCTCAGCTACCCTGCTCCCGCCCATTCTCCTCCCCCTCTCCCCACCCCACACACACGCCCACCTCTCGTGGCTTCCCCAGCCCTTCAATCCTGGCCTGCACAAACGTCAAGAGTCAATGCACATGCTCACACTCTCACTCGCCCTTTCCCGCACACAGATGCACTCACACACTCACACCTCTTGGCTTCCCCAGCTCTTCAAGCCGGGTCCACACAAACGCCCGCTGCAATGCCAGAGCCAACTCACGCCCTTCAATCACACGCACTCACACATTCTCACTCTTCTTCATACTCGCACACCCACCCACCCACCTCTCGTGGTTTCCCCAGCCCTTCAATTCTGGCCTGAACAAACGCCCGCTGCAGCGCCAATGCCAGTTCATGCCCTTCCAGCCCTCTCCCCATGCCGTCCCCCACTCCCCCTCCCCCTCCCCCTCCCCCTCCCCCTTCACTTCTAGTTGGTGCTAGGCCTCTTGCTCCTTCTGCTCCTGCTGCTTCTGCTGCTGATGCAGCTTCTATCAAAGATGTGTTGGCAGAAGCAGCAGCCGCAGCACTAGAAGCAGCGGCTGCTGCCGCTGCTGCTGCAGCCTTAGCCACTGCTCCTCCTGCCTCTGCCGCTGCAGCAGCAGCAGATGTAGCAGCATTAGCGGCTGCTGCAGCTCCTATTGTTGCACGCAAGCCAGTCTTTCCGCTTCCCCGCTCCGCCCCTGCTGCTTCCGCCACCTCCCCCGCTGCCCGCGCAACCTCCCCCACCGCGCTAGCTAGATTTCCCATCACGCACAGAAGCTGCGTCAGCGATCTCTGCAGTGACGTCAGCTGCTCCGCTGCTGCGCGCGCGGATTCCTCCCCCCCTTCCCCGTGGGTTCCTCCCGAGGTAGCTCGAGTCACAGTAACACGACATGGTGACGTGGCAGTTTGTCTAACACCTAACGGCGCACGAGCGCGGCTTTGAGGCGCCTGAAAATTCGCACTAATTGACTGCTGCTCGTGACGAGAAAATGCATCAGCGAGGCATAGCTTGTTCTCCGGAAGACTCCGAAACCCGCCGGACCATGCTGAAAGCCTCCCTACAGGTCTCCCCATGCGGTCCGTTATAAAGTTCTTTCTGGAGGAAAATGCGGGCCTTGTATCGAGTGGACTGGCGGCCGGACCTCTGCTAAGGACTGGATTCGGTCCTGCTAAACCGAACGGCATTTGTGTTCGAGAAAGAGTCATGTTCAGGCCAGAAGCTAATATGAGGTTTGAGCTGTAAGGTGGCCACTACGTGAATGACGCCGCGAACTGCTAGACTTGGGCCATAGATTACGCTGGGCGCAGCTGCAATCTCTTTTGATCAGGGCGGTTTGACCAGCTACCCGTACCCATCTGCGCTAGACGAAGGCTCTGTTCTGTAGGCATTGCCCGAGGGGGGAGGAGGGGGGGCGGAAGCAAATGACCGGGGCTCCTACGCAGTTTCCCAACCGAGATCACCTCCACGCCGCTACAGCCGAAAGCGCGAAACTTCGCCCGCCAGGGCGGAACCTGTAAATGGCGAATTTACAGTTAAAACTTCGCGCCTTATAGGCAGGGGTACAACGATGGGCCCAACCCTAAATAACCGGGCAAACATTTGCAAGTGGGGGTTCGGCGCTAGAAAAACGGGCTGCAAACTCAACTCCCAACTTTCCCAACACGTATCAAACAGCCGCAGCAACGACCAACTCTTACCAAGCAGCAGCATGGGTTTTCAATCTCGGCAAGATGGTTGAGAGGGGGGGGATTTTCGTTGATCGGGTTGTGCCTTTCTGAGTGGGTTACGAGCAGCCTGAGGGAATGTCCATCGAGGGTAGAAGGTGGGTGTCCCCACCCCCCGTACCTCCCTCCCATGTCTCTCGCCCCGCCCTGAAAAAGCGGGTTTCGAAGGGCGGGGCGAATGGCGTGAATTTTGCCAGAGGAGGAAGGTGGGGAGGGGAAATAGGTAGTTTCGTATGGGCCAGAACCCACGGGGGTAAATGGCTGTTCTGTAGCCATTTCCCCTCAAACAGGTTCGGAGGGTAAATGGCTGGCTCGGCAACGTCTTGCGGGCTGACCGCCTTCCGAACCCAAAAAACTCAGTGGGGGGAAGCTACCTATTTCCCCTCGCCCCCCCTCCGCCAGGGCCTACAGAACAGAGCCGATGCTCCTTTGACAGGCAGTGAGGCTATGCACCGGTAAGTGAAATTCGTTTACGTGAGATATATTTTCAGATGCAGATGTACATGCGTTTGTTACTGGAATGTTTAGAGTGGATATACTAGGGACTAGATGTTGTGGATGATGCTGTTCATACTGCCAAGACAAGGGTTTATTCCTGGTCATCAGTTCAGGTTGTCAATTTGTGGAGTGAGGTCCTCAAGGTTGTCATGGCAATATTTTATTTTCACAATTCATGTTCCTCCTTGCATGTGCCTAAGACTTCTCTACTATGGCTAGGAGGGATTGTGCAGTTTAAGGCACAATCGATTTCACACTGGGGAGTGTAAGATGTAGTGGGGTGAGGAAGAAACGGGCAGGCTGATACTGTAGTTGAAGGGGTGAGTGAGTCAGGCAGGGGTACAAGAGAAGACGAGGTGGAGATGGAGGGCGGGGAGTGGTGAGAAAAGGGAAGCGGGGAGGGGTTTAAGAAGAGCAAGATAGATGGTGAGAAAGCGATAGGAAGATGAGCAGGATGGGAAGGGTTTTGGGATGGGGAAGAAAGGAGAAAGAATATGGAAGGTAAGTGGATGAAATAGAAGATGGTTAAATAGTGGAGAGGGAATGAGAAGAGGAGGATAAGAAAAGGGGAAGAAGAAGGGGAGGAGAACGAAAGATACAGAGAGCGAGGGGGAAGAGAACGGGGAAGAAAGCGAGAGGGGGAAGAGAACGGGGAAGAGAGCGAGGTGGAAGAGAACGAGGGGGGAAGAGAAAGAGGGGAGATGAGAACGAGGAGAGAAACACGATGGGAAAAGAAAACGAGGGGAGAAGAGAACGGGGAGAAGAGAACGAGGGGATAAGAGAACGGGAGAAGAGAACGAGGGGATAAGAGGACGGGAGAGAGAACGTGGGGAGAGGAGAACGTGGGGAAAAGAGGGCGAAGGGGGAAATGAACGAGGGGAGGGAAGAGAAAGAGGGCCAAGAGAAAGACGGGAAAAGGGAAAGATAGTGGAAGAGAGGATGAATGGAAAGAGTAAGCGGGGGGGAAGCTGGGATGAAAGAAGAGGGGAGACTTCCTATTAACGTTAGCTATCGTTGTGGACGTTCGAAGCAACGGTAACTATTAGGAACCCCGGCTGCGACTGACTGTAACGGAGCACGGAAGGGGTAGAATAGCGTCAGAAGAAAGCTGACAAAACTGATAACACTGTTGACACGTGAGCGGAAGATCTAATCATCAAGTCAACCGAAATGCTAGCCAGTCTAACCCAACCCTAAGCGTGAAGAGACAGCTTGCATCTCCCTCCCTTCGCGTAACACACAGCCAATATCCGCCACCTCGTTCAGCTCCATCAAACACCAGATCTACAAGAACCAAGTCCTGCAATAACTTAGTCCCTCTTGGCCCGCTTGCCACCCTTGGCTGCCTTGGCGGCCTTTCCGTAGTTGCGAATGTGGAAGTCGACGAAGAGATAGAGGAGCGAGGAGTTGAAGAAGAGGTTGAAGCAGAAAGACTCGAATCCGGCGCATCCAGTCGGCCGGGTGAAGTGGAAGTAGATGAGGGGGAAGGAGACGAAAGTGCCGATCATGAACTGCGAGCATCAATAACAAAGAGTTAGTTCTAGCATTCAATCAATTGAGTTTTGTTCGCGAAACCAGAAGAGAAAGATTCATGATACATGGTGTAGAAAGCATGATGACAGAGAAAACCGTACCTGAATGATCTGGCTGTTGGTGACGAACATCTTCCAAGGAGGAGGCATGCCGATGCTGTTGACACAAATCGCAGGAAAAAGGCGACGTCAGCTGCCAATATTCGCGAGAGAGCTATGTACGTAACTTTCTGTTTTCGTACTTTCAGGAGCCAACTGGAGAACGACGTGATCGCAACTTCTGATTCCATACCTGTGCATGAAGTAGTAGAAGTACATCATCACGTGGATCCCTGTGTTGATGGTGATGGCGATGACCTGAAGAGACTGCGTGTTCTGCTCACAAAAACAGAAAAGATAACAAATATGAGCAATGCTTTTGTGCCTGTACAGTGGGGATTGTATTGTGCGTTGATCTTCTCAGTTAACTAGAGTTTCCTGATCGAATCGTAGTTCGTTGCTAGACTAAGGTGGCGTCCCTCGCGTTCGTCTACAGTTGGGCTAGTCCGGTTACTCACGTTATAGATCGGTTCATGAATTTACAATTGTGGATCGCGTTATAGATCGGTTCTTGAATTTACAGTTGTGGATCGCAATATACCATGAACACGCGATAAACCACCAGGGCACGACGGTGTAAAGGTAAGAAAATAACTCACTGTTAGCCACAGCCAGCAGAGGAAGACGATGGTTGCATGGTGGTACACGTGGAGAAACGACAGCGGCTTGTTCTTCAGCACCAGGATGACAGTATCCAGGAGCTCGTAGTACTTGCTGAGGTAGTAGATGTAACTCCAGAACCACAGATAGCCGACTGGCTTGACGGTTGACGGGAAACAGAGAAGCCACGTAAACTTGCCCTGCAAACAAAGAAAAGGAATGCACCGTCAATCACCGAATCTGTCGTGATTTGCTGAAGGATGGCCAGCAATGTACCATGATGCCTTACCATGCCGGTGTCATACTTGTTGATCTCGGAATCCAAGAGCATTGCGTGGATCGTTCCCAGGAACATCGCCAGGGACCAGAGGCACAGGATCAGGTTGTGAATGGCAGGGAGGAAGCCCAGATTCACTGGTGCCATCTTGTTCTTTGTCCGGTACCATTTCAGCCCTAGAATGAACGCGACATAGCCTATACATGTGCAGAGCATCAACGGAAGGTTCGACACCGGCGTCTCATCGACCTTCCACTCGAAAGTCTGCACGAGAGGCTCCGTCGCAGGCCAGACATAGTAGAACGGCGTATCCCTGGTCATGGTGGCTGTGTAGTTGGAGGAAGGGGATGCTGCTTGAGAAATAACTTCAGTCTCCACAGTCATGGTGATCAGGCGGCCTTCAGCTGGAAAGATCAAAAAAGGAACACTGCACTTCAAGTTGCAGCCACTCCAGTGGGAAGCTGGATTCTGTTCAGACTGGGAGGAAGCAACAAGGCTGAGGGGAAAGAAAAGGTACAGATAGGACTGGGAGAAACAGGCACAACTCCCACCTTCCGCTAGAAGGCTCGAGCGGAGGAGCCCTCGAATCTACCGGCATTCAGACGGTCGAGATTGGTTGTTGTGTGGCGATCTACGCGGGAGCATGCCACAGCCACAAACCAGAGCTCTGATCGCGGGAACCTCTTGGTGACTGACTTTTGTCTGCCTCAGTTACCGAGCTGAAGAGCACTAAGCCGCTGGTTTTGCTGGTGGTTTCACTAGAATGTCCAGCCTTGTTCACAGGCTTGGCATGGAGTTTCAGCGAATTACGGCTTTCCGTGTGGAGTATGTGGGGACCGCAGGGACACAACAGCTGGTTTGGCTGGGGCAAACGTGCGGGTTCAGTGAAAGGAAAGCTTGTGACGTGGCACCTTCGAGAACATGATCTAGACCAGCACCGCCAATGACACCCTGGTTCGGGCCGAAGCGTCTGACAGGGGGGTCTAAGAAAGCAAATCTGGCCAACCGCACAGTAGATCCCGTGTGTGACGAGCCTGAACAGGGCGGAGACCTAGTCAGGTTATTGGGTGGTTCGGACGAGCACCCATGCCATATTTCGATTCCACGACTTCGAATCAATGCAGTGAATAAGTGTTACACTTCTAGATACAAATATATAGAAATATAGCCTAAAATATGTCAATCACCATGCAGAACATGGAATGGATAGGGTGGCAATGCCTTGGTGCAAGCCTGCTGGGCCGTTACCAGTACTATCTCTCAACTCTGCGAAGGGGAATACATGCTACATGCCGCAAGGCTTTATGACCTGGAACACCCAGCCTGTAAGCGAACATCTAAACGCAGTGTACAACCCATAAGCATCTGGAGGGTCACATCCAGGGCTGACGATTCAAATATGGGTACCCTATTTTCAATCCCCCAAAAAAATATTTACCCTGAAGGCGCATTTTCCGCAAAACGCCAAGCCTGAGCCTTCTTGCGATGTTCAGGGTTCACGAAATCGTAAGTCTGGGCTGTCAGGGTTGGTGGATTGAATTCAGTGTTACGATGTGAAGTTTTATGAGAAGGCATTCCAGTATGCTGCAGGAGCCGACTCTACCGAGTACGAAGTTGAGGAGTCAGAAGAGCCGAAGCGACGCAGCAACCGTCCGACCAAGACCAATGCACGCAGAAACATTTGAAGTGAAAAGAGCGGGAACAGGTTTTAAACTGGTTCCCGCGCCGCACGGTTTCTGAATTCAGTTGTAATAAGGGAATTTACCCCTTGGAGTACATGGCTAATCTAGGTCCTTTCTGTCAGAATGAGGAATGGTGTGTCCATTGATGTTGGTTGGGGTACATATGACAAACCCTAACTTCTGTACCCCCTAAGACAAACCTCACTACAGGCTACAACATTTGACACACCCCCATAGCCTAAGTGAGGGGTGTCTAGCAAAATCAATAAGAGTACGGTCACAAGACCAGTCCAAAAGAAAACAAAGCTCAGGGTGGATCACAACGTCACCACACACTCTGAGCACAAGCAACAGTGGCCACAAGGCCAGTCCAAGAGATCACAAGTATATATAGCAAGTGTACAGACGAAGCAGGCAATAAACTCAAGTTTACACATGACTAGAACCTGTGTCAACAAGGCCTAACTGCACACAACACCTCTGGTGGTCACAAGGCGGAAGCGCCTTGGTGAAGATGTCTGCAGTGTTGGCCTCGGACTCTACAAACTCGAAGCGAGCCTGTCCACGCCTCTGCAACTCTCGCAGAAGAAAGTACCTGACGTGAATGTGCTTCACTCTGCTCTCCAGACGCGGCTCACGACAGAGGAGGATCGACGCCTTGTTGTCAGTAAACAAGGTCGGTGCAGAGCTCGGCCGCTCACCAAGGTCGGCGAGCAAGAAGGTCAACCACCGCAACTCCTGTGCCGCCATGGCACCAGCGTAAATCTCAGCCTCAGCTGTAGAGGTCGAGACAGAAGAGGAGCGCGTGGAACGCCAGGAAACAGCTCCAGAACCCAGACTGAAACAGTACCCCTGAGTAGACCTGTGAGTCTCAGCGTCGTCAGCGTAAGAGGAGTCACAGTGACCAGTGAGTACGACAGACTGCTGCCCTCCAAGAACTAGCCCCACGCCTGATGTAGTCGCTAGGTATTTCGCCACCCTCACAGCTGCCGTCCAGTGAACAGGACGGTGTCTCCCTGGCGCAACAAAGCGCGCAAGGATGCTGAGAGGGAAGGCGAGGTCCGGGCGAGTACAAGTCATCAGGTACATGAGGCAACCCACAAGCTCTGCGTAGGGACCACTAGGCTCAAACGTCTCGTCAGGAAAGGGACCAGTGAGTCTGTGGTCAACAGCGAGAGGTGTGCGCTGTACGGTGGAGTGCTGAAGCCCGAACCGCTGAAGGACCTGCTGCACCATGTGTGACTGTGAGAGTGTAATGGTGCGAGCGGCTCTGTCCCTGGTGATCTGCAGGCCAAGGTAGTGGCGCAGCTCACCAAGATCAGTGCACGTGTGTCTCTTCTGCAGTTCGGACTTCACGTCTGCCAAAGCAACCCTGTCCGGAGTGGCGAAAACGAGGTCGTCGACGTAGACCAAAACAAAGAACGGTGTGGAGCCACGACGAGCGAACAGCGACGGGTCGGCAGAAGACGGCTGGAACCCAAGGTCAGAGAGGGTAGAACACAGAGTGTCGTGCCACTCGCGAGGGGCCTAGCGAAGACCGTAAACAGGTCGCCTCAGCCTCCACTGGGTCCCAGGAGGGAAAGTGCCAGTGAAGGCCGAGGGACGACGCAACCAGACCTCCTCGTGTAGGCTGCCCTGAAGGAAAGCAGTGGAGAAGTCGAGAGAGTGTAACTCGTAGTCTCTCTGTGCTGCTACGTGTAGTAACACCCGAAGAGTGGTCATCTTCGGGGTAGGTGTGAAGGTCTGAAAGAAGTCAACTCCCTCGCGCTGACTGAAACCTCTAGCCACGTAGCGCGCCTTGAAGACCGGGGGAGATCCCGGTGGGCGCTTCACCCTGTAGATCCACATGCCGTCGACTACGTTCGCCCCAGGGGGGGGAACCTCATCGACGTAGGTGCCTGTGGATCTGTAGGAGGCCATCTCTGCGTCCATGGCAGCTCTCCACTGAGAGGCCCAAGGCCCTGACACTGCCTCAGCGTAAGTGCGAGGAGTCGGAATTTCAAGGGCGTCGGGGTCACCCTCAGAGGCGAGGAGCATGGCACAGAGATGAGAGGAAGCGGCCGCCAGGAACTCTAGCTCAAACTGCCTGTCCTCTAGGGCGTCACAGCCAAGGGCAGACACACCCCCGACGGCCAGAGGACTGGTAGGAGGAGCAGCCACAAGTGTGGTGGCGTAGTCAAGGCGGCGGGTAGCGGCAAAGTCAGTAACCGCGGCAGTAAGAGCAGACACAGAGGACACAGAGGCACGAGGGTGAGTAACAAGAGAGGCGAGAACACGAGAGAGAACAGGACGGTACGTGCGGTAGTAGTCAGTGACAGGAGCAGGGAGCGACACGGTGAGGGCCGACTCAGGAGGAGACGGAAGCACAGACTGAGACGGACGAGGTGGACTGGAACAAAGTAAGGCAGTACGAAGGTCAGTGAAGGGAACAGGAGACGAGGGACGAGCACGAGGGGAGCGACGAGTAGCCCAAGAACGAGACGGAGGAGGAGAGGACAAAGGCGGAGAACTAGAGAAAACAGCGGGGGAGGAGTCAGGAAGAGGAAACGTGGGACCGTAGACAAGAGGAGAGGCGGAGGAGGGAGGAGAAGGGGAGGGGAGACCAAGGGCCCGAAGACCCGAGACAGGAGGAGGAAGTGGCTGCTGCTGCTGCTGCTGCGACTGCTGCTGGGACTGCTGCTCCTGCGGGTCCAGCTGCTGCTGCTGCTCCGCCAACCGCTGTAACTCCCTCTCCTCTCTCTCCAACTCCAGCTGCTCGTCACGTGCACGGCGAACACGAGCCTGGTGCCTAGTCGGGTAGGGGTGGGGGGGTGGAGTAGTGTCCGAAGCAGCGGCAGCTCCAGAGTCAACCCCCGAAGAACCAGGCGCACCACCCCCAGAGGCAGCACTAACACCAGCTCCAGACCCAGGCGCACCAGAACCCGAAGCAGGCGCACCCTCACCCCCAGAGGGAGCACCCCCAGAGTCCGCGCGGCCAGCACCGGCTCCCGGACGACAAGAGTCCTCTGCACCCACCGGGTCAGCTCCAACTCCAGAACCAGAAACTCCAGCTCCAACTCCAGCACCCCTAGAACCAGAAACTCCAGTGCCTACTCCAGCTCCACCTCCAGCTCCAACACCAGCTCCAACTCCAGCACCCCCAGAACCAGAAACCGGTACAGGAACAGGCGCAGCACCAACCTCTCGAGAGCTAGCACCTGCGGCACGCTGCGAGGAGGACTGTGGGGAGGGAGGCTGTACCGGAGGGGCTACCGAAGGAGGAGGGGTAGCCTGGGACACACCTGACGGGGCTGGGCCAGGGGGGGGAGGCTGTACCGGGGGAGCAGGAGGGGGAGCGGCAGTCAGGAAGAGGGGGGGAGGAGGAACCGGGAGACCTCGACTGGGGTACCTGACGTAGTACGGAGTGGACTCCTCGAAACGGACGTCACGGGAGTCAAAGAACCGGTGAGAGGGAGGGTGGTAAAAGGTGAAGTCAGAGGAGTCCTCAGGGAAACCAAGGAAGACACAGGGGACGGCACGAGGCGAGAGCTTGTCCGCGGAGGTGTCGCGGACAAGAGCCAAGCACCCCCAGACACGAAACCGCGACGCAACACCAGGGGACCCTGTCCAAAGACTGGTCGGTGAAACCTCTGGTCGAGAGACACGTGGCCAGAGGTTCAGCTGGTGCGCGGCGTACCTGACCGCGTAGGGCCACAGAAAATG